AGAGTTGGTAAAGATAATAACCTATGGCCAAACATCAACAACATACTTCACAACAAGTACAACACTTCTTCACTATAACATCCACATACAATGTTCCCTTTCCCTCAATTATCAACAAGACAGAAAATAAATGGCCACGACAAGGACCGATGCTTTGTAAGATAGTAAAATAGGAATAGCCATGACAAGGGCTTCACAAGCACAAATCTCTATTTTAACCACATGCAAGATATTCACGATTTTTGAGACTCTAACTTTGAAAAACTTGCCTGAAGTCCTCTAGACTTATGATATTTTCAGTTTTCCCTCGGCAAGCCTTGAGTCCCTAGAATCTCACTAGAAAACTTAGAACACAATGTCACCCAAAGCCAACAAGAAAATATTTCTAAGACATAATATTCACACTCAGACTAAAGTTAATCTTTGAACCTCAGTTATAAAACCATTTGCAATCCCTAGCAACGGTGCTAAAAAATGATGGCTGTCAATGATCTCGATAATAATCAACCCTATTGTAATAGCACAAATCATTGTAAAATAGGGCTATTGTATGGGTAAGTCGAACCACAGAGATTGCTAGTTTATGGCAACCAAGGTCTTTAAAGTCACTTAGTTTGATGAAGGGGGTGAAGAGTTTTTGTTTGGTTTGTTATTAGGTGACTTGGAATTAAAAATGCATAAAACAGTAAATTAAAGGAGATTAGAAGGAGTGAAACTTAGGTAGAGAGGGCTAGGGAAGTGAATCCACTACCTACCATATAAACATGCTAGAATATGATTTACTTGGGGAAACAACATATATAAGTGGCCATGATATGCAGCAACCCATGGTTACTACATTATCTTCAAGAAATTCATGAAATCAAGAGGCAAGAATAACTTATCAAAGGTTTACATGATTGAACTACCTAAACTAGGGTGTAGCCTTAGACATGCTCACTAAGCTAGAGATTATCAAGCCTTCAATCAAATGATGCAAGCACATGAAGTTAAGAATCAAGAATAGACCATCAAAGGAGGGACCTAAGCCATGGACTATCAAGCTTCTCAAACACCATGCCATTAAAACCATTCCATAATCTCATTTTCATTGTCACCATGAAAATGTAAGCCATACAACCATGAGAACATACAATCTAAGACAAGATAATAGATTTAACATGATCATTTATATAAATTTAGGTTCATTACATCAAGATGAGTGCTCTAGATTGTAAAACTACCACATATATACATCATTCCCCAAAATAAAATCAAAACTAGAGCATGCTTACAAAGAAGGGCTTCATCACCTCCCTAGAAAAGGGAGTTAGTTACCTATGGATGAAAGGGAGGAGGAGGTTGAAGTGAACTCACCCTCCATTTTCGCACCTAATAGACCAGCTCCAACCCAAAACCTCTATAGAACAATATTTCTCTCTTTAAAAATATCCTACAATGTGAGATATGAAAAAAATACATTATCTCAAGACTCTTATCATCCACCATAGCCCTCCAACCACTCCATTTTTGTGGCTCATCATCCCTAGAAGAATGCAGAACCACACATTGGGTCAAGGGGATATCGTTAGATGAAATAATACAGCCCACACCCCCTTGTTTGCAGATTAGCGGGCGCCCGTACATTGTCAAGAGGGTTGGGTGCGGCACCTGGCGGGGGCCTGCAGTGCATTATAGGCCCACGTAAAAATCAAAACTCTCTGGACCATTTGGCGGGCACCCACAGCTCCTTGCGGGCGCCCGCAATGCTGCGACAATGCTCTAAATTACTTCTTGGCTTGGCTTTATCTCGGCCTGATGACACAAGCTTTCTTCTTAATGCTTCTTGTAGGGATAACCATGAGTCCAGTGGATCACTGGTTTTGCCCAAAATGAAGATCTTCGGCAACAGCATGCTTCGATTCTTAAAGCACTCATCAAAGCATCTCTTTTAACTCTCTTTGGGAAACCAACCTGAAAATAAATGACAGCATGCAAATGAAGCTAATATATACAATATGATCAATTAATAGACTTAACTAATGCAAATAAGGGTGCTCGAATATGCAATATTCGACGCTTATCATCAAAGAATGTGGGATACTTGATTTGTTATGATTCCATCAGTTGAAAGTGGTGGTATCTCATATAAACACTACCACTAACTGAAAATGGTTGTCATGGATTATGGATGATGGGTTTAAGATGACTAAATCATGTCAAAATTGGGGAAAGAATTCATAGGAGATAGAAGAGGAACATAAAACATGGGATGTGTGTCAATTTGTGAAGAAGACAAGTGGAAATTCATTCCAAGAAACTGCCCATAATACAAGTTTATGAAAGACTAATATGCATTAGAGGAAATAAAGAGTAGGAAGAAGATGGAAAAAAAAAAACTTACAACTACCAAGAACATAGGGCGCATGGCAGTCTGAAATTTAGCCACATTGAAGCTGCTGAAACTACCACATCAAGCTGCTGCATGCACGGAAAGGTCTATAAATAGAACACTTAAGGCTAGTTTGGAAGGCCTACTCAATGCACGTAACAAAGCCTACCTACCCAGCATATAATACAATAATTCAGTATCTTTTTATTCATGTATCTCTCATTTTAACAATGAGTTTGCACTTTGCCTAAACTTAACACTTTGCTAGTTGATGTATTTCCTTTACAACAATGAATATATATCATTTTAAGTTGAGTCTAGCACTTTGTTATCCCATATAGAATTCATTCCATGCGATGAATTCTCATAACGCTTGAGTTAAGTCTAGCACTCATTTTGCTACTTCCAGCCGAGCACTGTATTTCCATGTCTCTAAATTTCCAGTCATGCACTTAAATCACTTTAATTCCCAGCCTTGCACCTTCAATACTATCTTCATTTCCATTACCCATAGAATAGTTTGAAGTCCTTGTTCAAAGATAAAAAAGACCCTTCGAAGGTGGTCATTCTAGACCTTCGTACAATTGCCTGATCCTTACAAATTTCTAATTGGATTACTATTTGGATTTCCACTTTGGAATTACTGCAGTTCCTAGCACGCTCGCATAACACACTATTCTATTCATATTCCACGTATACCGGAGAGTGGAACCAGTGCCTCTTTCCGCGAGCCGAACATATTTGGCATGCCCGGCGGGATATCTAGACAGATTGTTCAATGGCTAGTGGAAGAAGGCAAGGCAAGTCTATCCAAGACCTTACCAAGATTAAAGATTTGTAAATCAGTGAACTTCAAGCTAATGGTAGACGATTTTCACCTGATGAAAGTGACATGGTGGAGAAATTTGCCCAAACAATGGCAAATAGTCCTATTATGGATAACATCCGTATGATGGTAATGCAACAAGATAGGTTTGCACAAGACCAAGCAAAAGTTGCTTAAGACTTAGCTAGAGTTGCTTAAGACCAATCTAAAGTTGTTCTTGCTCAAGAGCGGAATCTAGCAGAACTGGTGGACCAAATCTCACGTAGGTTTGAGTTCATGTTGGAATTAACCCTTGAAAGCTAGAACCAATGTTTGGCCTCTCGTCCAAATAACTTTAAAGGGTCTTAACAGTTGGCATTCAAAACTAGCAGGCTGATTACGTTTGTTGAAGGTACTTTCTCTTAACAACATGTATGGCTATTCCCTTCAACTCAATAACAGATATAGTCCCTTCCAATGGTATGTACTTACATTCCAATTATAACTGTGACCGCTTCAGTAGCACAGATGACTGTTCCATAAGCGGCGCCCATGCCAGCCGTTCAGCAAGTTCAGATTTTTCCACCTGTGGCGTTTCCACAACAAACTTAGCATGATCAACCTGGCTAACTTTGGCCATATCACATCCCTCAAGCACATTAGAACATTCCCCTAGTAAACATTTAGCCAGCCACACCTGCTCCTCCAGGGCCACACATGGCTATGCCGATGGTAGTTGGGGGGCAACCTTTTCCAAGGGAGCCACTCTTGGACTAAGGGGGAAGGAACCGTTGGAGGAATAACCTTTTTGATACCAACCTACAGCTGATGGCAGGTGAGGGGCATCAAGGAGTCAACCAACCTCAAGGGAGGCCAGATAATAACTTTTCATAGCCTGTGGCATGTAATAGAGTCCAATTTACAGAATTCCTCTAATAGGAATTTGGCCTAACCTGAAGGGGTGGAAGGCTAACTTACAGAAAGCCCTATCTGGAGTTCATTAATAAAATTGAGTATCCAAGGAATTTTAGAATTCCAGAATTCAGAACTTTCAATAGAAAGGACGAACAGTCCACATTAGAACATATCAGCCGTTTCACTGTCCAATGTGGAAAAGCAGCTGCTAATCCATGGCTGAAGGTACGCTTGTTTCCAAATACACTGACCGGCTATGCTTTCAGGTGGTATTCTAACTTACTTGACATCTCAATCCAAAGTTAGCAGTAATTTGAGGACTTGTTCCATACTCAGTTCTATAGCACCAAGCCTAAGGTGTCCATGGCAAATCTTTCCAAAATTCATCAGTTACCTAGAGAGTCAGTGATCAGCTTCCTTTCTAGATTCGGAAGGGCCAAGTACAAATACAACTTGTCCTTGCCACCAGAAGAGTATGTGAAAATAGCTGTCAATGGTTTGGAATTTGAACTTCGTAAGAAGTTTGAAGGAGTGCAGTTCCATGATTAATTAAATTTGGCCAATAGAGTGGTTAAGTACGAAGGCCTCCTTCGTGAAAAACATGATTGTAAGTTTTCTTCTAAGGGCACTTACTATCGTGATCCTAATTATGAGGTATTTTCCACTAAAACAAAGGGAGATTTGGAAGTTAATATAGCTGAGCTCAACATAAAGAAGGCCTATACTTGTGTGGAGCCAAAATCAGCCACAGCCAACTTGTAGGCTGCCTCTAGTTCCAAGTGGAAATTGGCAGACCCTTCCAGGAGCTACTCTTTTGATATTTCCAAAGCCGATCAAATCTTTAATTTGCTCATAGCTGACAAGCAACTGATCTTCACAGCAGGCCATAAGATGCCAATGACCTCTAAAATGGCCAAGAAAGAGTATTGCAAATTTCACAATGTGTGGAGCCATTCCACTAACAATTGTGTAGTTTTTCACAATATTGTGCAAAAAGCAATTGAAGATGGCAAGCTAAAGTTTTCAAAAAAATCAGAGGTGATGGGTGCTGGTGGAAATCCTTTCCCCAAGGCCGTTACAAAAAACGTTTCCTCTATGGTTTCGAAACATCCTAAAAAGAAGGTTACAATATGAAAAAGAATGTTTCCTCTATGGAAATCTCCAACAGTTCTAGCAGTAGTAAGAAGATTTGTTTTAGCAGTCTTCCAAGTGAGTTTACTTACAATATGGTAGTGGTTCTTCCTTTATTTTTTGAGCCACAGCCAAACTAGCTAACTTCAATAGAAGGAGATGTAGTAGACACAATTCCTCCTTTGGAAAGACTTGGACAGTCTAGTTCCGGGCCATTTATAATGGAATCAAATAAGGGTATCCATATAGAAGTGGTTTTCGAGGATGAAGCTGAACATCTTCAGAAATTATAGGGAGTTGTCATTGAAGAAAACAACCCCATGAAACTAAAGAAAATTGTGTTGGAAAAGCCACCATATGGCATGACTCAGCAGCTCAAACCTCTTTATATCAGGGTACTGGTGGAAGAGAGACCCATGGCAAGAGTTTTGGTAGATAATGGTTTAGTACTGAACGTTGTTCTAGTCAATGTCATGCGCATGCTTGGAAAGTCACCTGAAGACATCATTCCAACTGATGTATCCATTAGTGGATTCAGGGGAGGAATAGTGAAGATGCAAGGAATTCTACCGTTGGAGTTAACGGTGGGAGATAGAACTTCCATCATAGCCTTTTTTGTTATTGAGTCCATAGTGGCTTATAATTTGCTTTTAGGCCGCAAATGGATTCAACCAAACTTTTGCATTCCATCTTCACTCCATTAAATGCTAATATTTTGGGATAGAGATGAGGTAAAAGTGGTGGAGGTTGATAATCGGCCATTTGTGGCAAGGGTTTACTATGCAAATGCTGAGTTATATAGCGAAGAATTCATTCTAATTAGATTTATTGGAAAAGATAACAAGGGCCGTCCAAGAAAGGCCACCATGAGAAGAATTCTCACTGAAGAAGACATAAGGGATCTTTTCCAAGGAACACCAAGGCCAACAATTTTACCCAAGGCTAGTGCTCAATGCTGCATTTCAAAAAAAAAAATTTGTGGAAGAGAAGCCTAAGGAAGATAGGATGCTTGGCCAGGCAGTTAATTGTTGCCTTGCTAGGTTGAAAGCATATCTGACCGAACTACGACTGAAAAGGACTGTAACTGCCAGTGCCTCATTTTTTACCAATGGTTTGGAGATTATGGAAGATACTGAAGACAAGTTGGATGCTATCCAATTGACAAACTTGAAGGCAACACCAATGAAGCTTGATGATTTTAAGGCCGAAGTGTAAGATCCACTTTTGGAAGTTAAGCTTGGAACGGAGCAAAACCCTCGGCCTACCTACATCAGTAAGCTTTTAGAGTAACTTTTAGAGAAGAATTAATTTCCTTACTTCATGAGTATAAAGATTGCTTTGCATGGACGTATGAAAAATGCCAGGACTTTCCAGAGAACTGGTAGAGCATAAGCTGCCAATCAAGGAAGGTTTCAAGCCTTTCAAGTAGCCTCCAAGAAGGATGTCCCAAGAAGTTGTTCTAAAGGTCCAAGAAGAGAAAGAAAGGCTGTACAAGGCTGGTTTTATAAGAACTGCCAGGTATGTTAACTAGATTTACAACATAGTTCCAGTTATTAAGAAGAATGACAAGCTAAGGGTATGTGTGGATTTCCGGAATATAAATCTTGCAACTCCAAAAGACGAATACCCCATGCCTATTAATGACCAGTTGGTAGATTTTGCTGCCAAGAATAATATTCTTTCATTCATGGATGGTCATTCCAAGTATAACTAGATTTATATTGCAGAAGAAAACATTGCCAAGACGGCTTTCAGATGTAGAGGATCCATTGGAACCTTTGAATGGGTTGTCATGCCATTCGGGTTGAAGAATGCCGGAGCAACATATCAAAAGGCCATGAATGCCATTTTCCATGACATGATTGGCCATTTCTTGGAAGTCTACATTGATGACGTAGTCATCAAATCCTTGGCCAAAGTTCAGCATCTTCATAATCAGAAGATGGCTTTTGAAAGACTGAGGCAACACAAGTTGAAGATGAATCCCTTAAAGTGCACTTTTAGGGTTTCAGCTAGAAACTTCCTGGGTTTCCTAGTCCACCAAAGAGGTATTAAGATAGACTAAAATAAAGCAAAGGCAATTATTGAAGCAAAGCCACCGGCCACTAAGAAATAACTACAAAGATTTCTTAGCCAGGTTGGATATTTGAGGATATTCATTGCCAACTATGCTAAAAGGACTCATGTTTTCTCCCAATTGTTGAAATTGAAAGGCGCTGAAGAGTTTAAGTGCATGAAATAGCACCAACAAGCCTTTAAAGGTTTCAAAAGCTACTTGGCCAACCCTCCATTGATGATGCCTCCAATCAAGAAGCGGCTTTTAAGATTATACTTATCGGCCGCTAATGAATCCATTGGAACTCTTCTAGCTCAGAACAATGAATAGGGAAAGGAGTAGGCCATCTATTATCTAAGGAGGGTGCTAACTCTAGTGGAATGTAGGTATACTTCCATTAAAAAGTTGTGTCTTTCCTTATATTATGCGGCTATGAAGTTGAGAACCTATATGTTGCTAGTGGCCGTGTATATAATTTCTCAAATAGATTTGATTAAGTATATGCTTTCTAGGCCTTTGATCGCTGGATGTATTAGAAAGTGGTCATTGGCCTTAATGGAGTTTTCTTTCAAATATATTCAACAAAAGGCAGTCAAATGAAGGGCGGTGGTAGAATTTCTAACAGATCACCATTCCACCAAGATTGATTCAGAAGTATGTGATGATGTGGATAATCTCTACCTTGACTATACACCTTGGACTCTCATGTTTGATAGGTCAAGCACTCATGATGGCGGAGGGGTAGGAATAGTCATCATTTCACCTTGGATTTCAAGTGTACAAACAACTAAGCTGAGTATGAGGCACTAATTATTGGGTTAGAAATCCTACTTGAGCTAAAGGTGTATAAGGTTCAGATTATTAGAGATTCTAACTTGATACGTAGCTAACTTTCTGAAGAATATAGATGTCTCAGCTGGCATTTGAGGCCTTTCCACTCTTTGACCTTGGAATTACTTTGCCAGTTTGATGATTTCCAACACAAATATTAGCCAAGGCATTTGAACACGGAGGCTAATGATCTAGCATAACTATCCTCTCGAGTAAAAGTTCTACTGGGTGTAAAAGCGACTTTAATTACAATCAAAAGAAGGACTCTTCCTTCGGTAGAGTCATGGAATGAGATGGCAGGTTATTTCCAATCTGACGAGCCAGAAAGAATCAAACCTGCCAAGAGGTCATGGGAGATTTTCAATGTTGATATAAATGGATTGGACTTGGATGATTGAAGAACACCAATTATTCTTTTTTTGCATGATCCTAGTGCCAATATGGAGAAGAGGACTTAGAGTTTGGCGCCACATTATATTTTGATTGATGGAGATCTCTATAAAAATAGTAAAGAAGACAGACTTTTGTTAAAATGCCTTGGCAGGAACAAGTCCATGAGAGTGATGGCAAAATCACACCTTGGAATATGCGGAGCACATCAAGCTGGAATCAAAATGAGATGGCTTCTGAGAAGGAACAATTATTATTAGAAAGACATATTGAAAGATTGCATAGAATTTGCAAAAACTTGTATTGCATGTCAATAACATGGCTTGGTCCAAAGGGTTCCAGCTATAAACATGCAGCCAATAGTAAAAATATGGCCATTCAGAGGGTGGGCTTTGGATTTGATTGGAAAGTTAAAGCCACCATCTACAAATGGTCATACTTATATGGTAGTTGTAATGGATTATTTTACAAAGTGGGTGGAGGCCATTCCATTAAAGACCTATGAGCAGTCAACAATGATTAATTTTATCAAAAAGCACATTATACACAGGTTTGGAATTCGAGAGACTCTCACCAGAGATAGAAGCGTCTCCTTTATTGGAAGTGAGGTTTTTGACTATTATGCTGAATGTGGCGTTCAAGTGATCAGTTCTACTCCATATTTTACCGAAGTAAATGGACAGGCAGAAGCTTTTAACAATGTAATTCTCAACATCCTTGAAAAGATGATAGAGAATCATCCAAATGAATGGCATCACTTGCTTTTTAAGGCCCTTTGGGCTTACGGGAATTCAAAAAGATCAAGTATGGGTGTCATACCATATATGCTTACATATGGACATGATGCCGTTCTTCCAATGGAAATGACCATTAGGTCTGTAAGGGTGGCTTTCCAAAATAGGCTAACCCCGGCAGACTACAACCATGCCATGTTGGCAGAGCTAGAAGACCTTGATAAAGTCCGTCTCAATGCCCTAGATCATATTATCGCTCAAAAGAAAAAATTCATGTGGGCATACAACAAGAAGGTTAAGGCAAAGGCATTTGTTGAAGGAGACTTGGTATGGCAAGTCAAATTTTCACCTACAATTAAAACCTTGGAATATGAAAAATTGACTCCTAATTGGGATGCTCCTTACTTGGTGGAACGAGTCCTTAGAAAAGGGGCTTATAGATTGATGGACATAGATGGAGGCTCCCACAAGTATCCTGTGAATGGTGTATGTAATGACTCAGTCATTTTCCTTCCTTAACTTTTTTCAAAATTTTACAGATAAAATTTTTTTCGTTGAATTATCTTTTTTGAGTTTGGTTACTCATCACTTAGTGTCATCTTGAGTACTCGAAAATGGTTTCTGAGACCCTTTCCTTTGGATTGATAACTTCATTTAAGGATCGAATCATTTCCACATTTTCATTTTTTTAACACTATTCACTTTTCATCTTTTTTCCGGAGAATGATTTTCTTCATGTAACCTCACTTTTTGTGCTCGAATTTGGTTCTGATTTTGCATGCATCCATGATATTTAAATTACATGCTTTCTATATTTTTACTTTTCTAGAAAAGTATGCTAGTTGCTTGCTTTTACATAAAAGGGCATGGATACATAGTTTCTTTAGAAATATTATTTGTTTTTAGGGTTTTTCTGTAATTGTAAAAAGTAATTTTTTATTATTTATTATGGACCTTTTGCAATTGATTTTGGTAGATATTTTTAAAAAAGGACCTTTTTGTAATTATCGAAAAAGTGTGACAAGTGTCGCGCTCTCATTGGGCCACTTGTAAGCATCTCATTGGTCAACACTTGGAAGCCTTGAATGATGACATGCAGAGGGTGGAGATTCACCTACTTGTTGGCCTAGGATTGGTGCACTTGTTGGCTTGGATAGTTGACAAGTGTTGGCTTTAGATTAAGCCTAAAATGAACCATTGGATTAATGACAAGTGTAGGCTCTAAATTAAAGTCTAGCTTTTGTATGTGTGTAGGCATGGTGCAAGACTAGGTGTAATTGACTTGCTTTGACCAAGTAAGTGGAGGATTACACCAAAAGGGGTTAATATTTCATTTTACATGTTTTTTATTTCATCATCTTCGTCACATAAAACCTTAGCCACCATTGAATGAAACCATTAACTTAGGCTTAAAACCTTGGTTTTGACCTCCTTCCACTCACCTTAGACTCAAAAGCTTCGAACACAAAATGCTTGCCTCACCTTCCTCTTTATAACCCTTGAAGGAAATTGTAAAATTCTTTTGTTTGCTTTGGATTGAGGAGGAACAATCCTCTTGTGAGGTAGGGGGTGATTTAGGTTTTTAATCTAAGTGTTTTAATTATTTTTATAGCTTACAATAAATTGTTTACATGTCTTATACTTAATCTTTAAATTAATTGGTTGTAGTAGCTTGCATGAAATTAAGCTAGGA